AAATTGAACAGGTCCAAGAGTTTGCTTCCTTTCGAGACATGTGCCGAATAAAAAAATAAATCGATCCTGGGAATTAACCTGCAGAACTGGCCGATAATCCTTGAAACGCGATCGAAATTACTCCTACGAAAGCCCTCGTGCCTCACCACGAGCGTGGAATAAAACGTGGAAATAAAATCTCGGGTAAAAAGAATCGCTCTTATTCCAGGGACGTTCCACCGAATCAGCTTAGAACTTCTCTTTCTTAAAACAAACGAACACTCGTTGGTGAAATATCGAATCCCTTTCCCCTGCAATTCTGAGAATTTGTACGAAGCGGTGAAAAATCGAATCCTCGATCCTCTCTACGTGTGAAAATGAGATTTTTTCGTACGTCGAAAGTAATTTCGCCGCGACACCGTGGAAAATCCGTTCTCCGTTCGCAAGCCAGGATCAATCTTTCATAGAGAGATACACGTGTAAATGGAACGGGTGGCTCAGGCGATGCGATTCGACGTAGAATCAACGTTAAATCGACGCGACATCCTCTATCGGAAAACAGTCAAGCGACTTTTTCACCGACCCGTTAACGCTGGCATTAACGCAGTCATTGAATTTAATTAATGTCACAGCGACGACGCGTCCAGCCACGACATACAGAAAGGGTTGCACACGTCAGATTGATCGTTACAACACGAACACGAAATTCCTCCGCTAAAACGTACCGAGCTAAAAAAATATCCACGTGCAAACGTAACAACGCGTGTCAGAGTACACACATTTTCTTTTTGCCCCACTCCTTCCTTATCCGTCGTCATCTAATCATTAAACCAAATTATTCACAGCTACGTGCTCTCACGAAGGGAGGGAGAAAGAAAAAACACGAAGTTGAAGTATCTGATATAAAATGTTGGAAACGCGCTCCTCAAATTGGCAATAAATCGTGGAGGAGCTTATCGCGTCGCTCGATAAATCCGACACGCCTACTCGCATCATTTTTTCGGATAATCTAAATATCGATACAGTTCCGTATAATTTTAACCTCCCGCTCGAAACACGCTGTCTCTCTGATCATGACGAACGGCGCGGCGTCTGGATTGATAGATTAATCAAGTCTCACGGTAGCTATACAGTACGTCTAAGTCTGAAGGCACCTTCCGCTGGCTCTTTGCCCCAACAACGACCAGGGATTTGCCGGAAAATGGAAGAAAACCTGGGGGAGAAGGTCTTGAATGTACTTAACTCGGATTATTTCGAGAGAGCCGGGATTTCGAGGTGCATCTGATTACCGCGAACAAAGCCGTAACACTGTCAGCCCTGGGGCTACGTAGTTTTCGCTCGTGGGACTTACCTCCCATTTTCTATTCGTTCAATTCGAAAGCTGCAAGAGGAGCGAGAGAGCTTCGTGAAGTTTCGTGAAAGCAACAACAAGTGAAAGAAGAAAACTGAGATACGATCGAAATAACCGGGAATAGGACGGTTATCGTGCACGTTTCTAATAATACTCGCCATTCTCGTTATTGGAAATGCTTTTCGAAGACTAGTAGTAATTGCCAGGCCTCCCAGGAGAGAAATACCGTTTCCCTACGGTTAATTACAAATCCCAACGCATATATTAGCGGGGTCGATCGCCGCGTTTCCTAATTACCGCAATTTATATCAAGCGACAGGCCCGCCGGAATACGAATTACAGCGGGACGATTAAGGGAATTAGTTTTAACACGAATGTAGGCTTATCTTGATCGACCGACGATCGTCCGGTGAAAAACAAGAGCAGAGAAATCGTCAATTGGAACGGTACGAAACAAATTCTCGAGGAAATAGATTAAAAGCTGAGCTAAACGGGTCGATGGTATATGTACCGGGAGTAATATCGGTGGAAAATGTTGATCAATACGCCGCGTCGATACCGGTTTCTCCAAGCTTTATGAAGCAATAAACGCGGGGATTAAAACGCGCTAGCGCTGCCCGCTTCGACGTGAAGTCGTACGAAACTTTATTTTATTACTCCTGAAACGATCGATGTAACGAAAACAAAAAAAAAAAGAAAAAAGAGAGAAAAAACAGATAGACGGTTGTCCTTAAAAATACGCCGACAATGTCTCGATTACATTTCCTACGATTGTTCCAGTTTCTTTATTATCGTAGGAAATAGCAGGGTTCGTTAGGTAGTGTATTTGGAACCGTCAGAAATTAACACGAGGAAGAGACTTTAACAAGCGGCCGGTTTAAGGGGGGTAATTTATAATGGCCGCAGGGAAACAAGGCACGCAGTAGCGTAGCACGTCGCGAGGTGCTTTAATCCTGGTCGAGGCAACGTGAAAACTCCTCCTCGCTCGTTTTTCTCCAGGCTTGACTTTTCTTTAAAGCACGTCGTGTCCATTACTCATCTTTATCTATAGCCGCAACGCGGCCACGGCGCATCAAATTTTCACGCGAGAACCGACGATGCTTGTTGCGCGAAACAGAGCTGCACACCTTAGCGTGGGATTAAAATATCCTCCCTTCTATCTTTTTTTTCCCCAATGAAACAATCTTCCTCGCGTTACCCAAAATTCTCGAGACATTCCTATCCTCTATAATCAAGTCAAATAAAATTTCGCAATCCACGGTCCTCCTGTTCAAAAATAAACTAGACAAAGCTACTAAAAAGAAACGTCGCAGGTAAAGTACATAACTCCAAGGCAATTTCACGGTGCGAGAGCGTGTTTCGAGGAAAGCAGCAGCGTTGCACCGAACTCGAAAAGTACAATCAAAACACATTCGAAGTGGCAATATCAGCGAGGTTTTCACACGGTTGCCTAGCAATTATCATCGGTCGTCTATCGATCTTCGTAGTCTTGTTCCTCGGGCAAATACGTACGTACACGCCGGGTGCTCGTTCCGTCGTTCGAACACGCGTGTATCGTTTATCTCGATGGGAAATTGCGTTACGCGCCGTATCGATCGTTCGCTGCAAACGTTTACAGGAGAGAGTTTACGTGTTTATCCACGGGGAATCGGGAACCGACCGGACAAGATTAGAAAACCTCACCTACGGCGAGGAACAAAGGGACGCTTATGGAGCTCCGTTTCCAGCCACTTCGTGTATACGTTTCCGGGCTGTAACGGCGATATTGCACGCGAATCAGATCTAGGAAATTATACGATTCAGAAGAGACACACAGAGACCGATCTATTTCGAGGTCAGGCCATTTGTACGAATTTCAAAAGACTTCAATTCAATTTTCATTCATTTCTACCCTAAATATATCTATATCTATTCAAACACGTTCAACGAGGGACTAGTTACGAGTCAAATGAGAAATTTCCCTCCAAGAGAGAGAGATCTCGAAATCAAACCACTTAACAGAGATTCCAGAAAAATGAACATCTTTCGACACCCACCTGGGGTCCATTCCTATTCATCACTCTCCACAATATCTACCCTCTACTTGCCACGTCAATTTACATGCTTCGTTAAATACGAGGGTAGCGACGCATCAAACGAGAAACTTTCCCGAAGGACTTCAAATTGCTGATTACTTCCTTAATCAGGCCGGGGCCATTACTGTAGCAAGAATAAAGAAGGGAGAAGAAAAAAAAAAGAAAAAAACAGAGACTTGCGAGAAACTTGTTAAAGGAAGTAGCGTCAAGGCTGTGGGAGAAGAAACGAGGAACTTAAGACGACAATCCTTGGATGTGAATTACGCGTACGGCTAATTCCTCCCTTGGAAAGCTACGCCAAAGTATTAGATTCGTTTCGTCTAAGCTTAGCTTAGAAGGATTCACCTCTGAATAATTCTCTCCTTTTGCAAATTCATAAGAATGTTTCAAAAGCGTCCAACTCTCGAACGGTCTGACGTTAATCCTGTGTTATAACAACGTACTCCCCCGAAAATATTCATTATACGTAAAATTAACATGCTACATCAAACGCAGTTACAACCAACGTTTACCCGTTTCATTTAATTCCACCTCCAGTTCTTGAGCCGCCAACTTTCTCATTAAACTCCGCGATATTCCTTATTATTCCGCGAGATTGCAATCTCTGCCTCCACGTTACTTTCATCCAAATTTCGATTACGAAACGAAAGCATTCTTTTAAAAGACGCGAGGTGTGAAACGATTCGTTTTCTAGAATCGACGTTATTGTATCACGATTAAACAGGCCGAGTCGATCGATACGACGCGTGTACCCCGTTGTTCCGCTTTATCAGCGAAAACACCGATACCTATCTGCGTATCGTAGGTGGTTCAATCGGTCCTATTGGTCACGGAATCGCCTCGTGTGCCAGCTGTTCGGAAACCTTCGACGATATGCACACGTGAAACGTTACTTGCTACAGTTTCACATTAATTATCCCAGACGTCGCCCCGGTGAATTATGCAAACTAATTTCCAAAGTCAAGCGCGAAAGATAAGGGGGGGGGGGGGATAAAAAAAATTAGTTTAACACCGGCGTATCTACGCGCTGGGGAACATTTAACGCTACGCGACTCTTAGAAAATCGAACTTTGCTGATGGAAACAGACGTGTAAACTTTTTCGATGCACCAAGATGTCCCAGAAAGAAACAAAATATGTACACGACAAATAAGAAAAATGAGGCAGATAAATGTAGAAAGAAGTATAATAATATCGCGTTCACTAATAGCCAGATAGCTGACCTTTCCGCTATTATCAATTAGAAGCAGAATGATTCCTCAGTTTCTTTTAAATCCTATCCGAAACAAAACTCTCCCTTTCATCCCTCCTCTCCCCTAACACCTGGACCATAGACGCAACTCTAACTTTACATAGACGGCGCAAAGGTTGTCTTTGGTCCTCTCTGGCCCTGTCTCACCTCGGTATCGATCGTCGCGAGATTTTGTCCGCGATTCCAGGAAATCGCGAGGAACACGGCATATTCTAACCACGAACATGAGCCAACGCACACACACACCGTCGAGGCAGAAGCTTTTCATTAATTTTTCATTTGTCCCCCGAGTTTCTCCGAGTGTGTTTTTATGAATTTTCTGTTACAGGAACGCAGCAGCACAAATGATGAAAGGTCGGCAACAATTTCGTCGGCGTTTCAGTTTACAGCCGGCGTCGTTGAAGGAGGGCCAGGAGGATGGGACGACGAAAAACGTTCGGTAAGGATATCAAAGAGAGAGAGAGAGGAAAAAAGCGTTTCCTGTCTCTAGCGTGTTCTATTCCCTCCTTTATACCCTTTTTACACATTACTT